TTGACGTCATCAACTAAGTAACTGCATGTAAGAAGCGCCTAAGCGCTGCCTTTGAACACTTTTAGAGTTTCTGAAAACAACTCATCAGAAATACATGAAGCATTCAAGACAGGTAGATTTTGATGAATAGAGCCAAAATTATCATAGATTTCAAAAATCTTGTATGCTGTTTTCTATGAGACACTGGAATGATAATGGTGAAAAAATCGCCTTCAAGTTTCTTTGAAATGCTATCGTTAAATCGAGCTGAATATTTTGTTTTTTACAGAAGCTAGAAATCATCGACTCCAAAACTTTCGAGCTTGATCGAACCATGCTTTGATACTCTCAATAAAATTTTCTAACCGAAATCGGATAGTTGTCTCGAAGATACGAGATACTTTTTTTGGATTTCTTGTGCTCGATGACTAGCGTGCTCTACATGTTTCTGCGACAACTAGGGCCCATCTTGTCCAAAATTTTCGAATCCTGGAAAGGCTTGACGGGCTCTAGTTGATATTGTTTGATGTGCGTGTCTTTCTATTTTTCATTCTTCGAATAGAAATGTTCAAATACCGAAAGTGTATGGTATGTGCGAAAAAAGTTTCAACTTAATCGATCGTACTAGACCGAAGAAACTGCAGCATTTCTGTGCTTTCTTGCATGAAAAAGATGATTTGAAAACAATGTGAGCAATACACATTTTTCGCTAGCTTGATATATTTTTTCGTTTCTTAACGATTAAAGATAATTTATGGATCTCAAAATGTACTGAATGGAGAGATACTACTGCAGCTCAAAAATGGTCATACAAAAAAATTGAGTTTTGTTCAATAAAGCAACTGGCAATTGCTTTCTTGATCTTTTTCAAAATATGTCTGGCTTGTGACACTTCAGTTTAACAACATTGGATAAAATCGATAACATGGTTTTTAATCAATTCTCCTCTAAACTAATTGAAAAAGTTTGAGATTAAAATGAATTCTGAGAAAAAAGAAGCTGTTAGCACAACCTCTGCGGGATTAAAGTGTGAAACACGATATAGGTGCTATTGCTAATCACAGATAGATTGTCTCATTCTACTTGTTTTCACATACATTTTTTTTTACTTAGCCCTCAAGAAATGCAATAAGGCAGTAGTTCACACGTTAGAACAAGAGTTTACTGATATCCGGTCACTGAGGGAAGTAGGTTGAAGCTTTTAACTTTGCACTTAAACAGTCTTGTTAGATCATGTTGCACAAAAACATTATAATAAGATACCGGAGACTTACCATATGCGTGTTGGTGTTATCATTTCATTTCTAGGAATAAAAACACTGCATAGATTTTCGTTCCTAGAAAGGAGAATACATTTCAAAACATGCTTTCTACATTTCTAAATATTTAGATAATTGTAACCACGTTTTTATAACACATTAAGTCGATGTGTTTATCATTTCTAGAAACATTTTGTACAAGCAAGGTTTCCATCTTTAGAAATATAAAACACACATGCGTTACTGAACATGGTAACGCTCATCGTATTCACATTCGAATTTCAAATATAAATGTTCAAACAAATTGAACTCTACCGATTAGATCAAAATTTCCAATTCTTTTTTCATAGTCAAGCAGATATTATCATGACTGTTATACTCGGCTGATGAAATATTTTTTTCTGGATTTTTCTCAATCAACTAAAGTTGTTTGTGTTGTATTGGGATAAATCCGTAATACTGTAATTACCAGTGTTAGCCTTCTTTGTTTGCAAAAACTCATGTACACTACCTATTCCTAAAGCATGTAAATTTATCTCGCATTTTCGTTCCAGGTAGTAGAATAGATGCATAATTATCTGAACGTTCCACAATAAGTACTCGTTTAAAAAATTTATTTTTAAGCACGTTCTCATTTTGTTAGTTTTTCAAGAACTAGAATTCGATGAATACAAACGTTAATATTTTGAGTTTACTGTATAATGTTTGTGTAAAGATGAAAGCAAAAGGTTTTTTAAGATTCAGAAACTATTCATCAGTTTTCTTTTACAATAATTTATTCCTTCATAAATTAATCATATAGATTTACTTTGCACTTATTCTTTATTAATAAACTTCTTATTGAAAAATATAATCGGAAAAGAAACTGCATTTATGCTTCCGACAACATAATTCTTCATGCTTAGTGCATCCGTGAAAGTTTCAAGGTTCTTTATCTGTTGCGACAATCTCAGCGTGTTTCTAATTATGTTAAAAACACTACTTCTTTTTCATAAGATAAAAAAGCAGTCGAGAATTCAATACAACATTGAAAGCCATTTAAGCCTGCTAGCTTTTTTTTCTATGTTAGAATTAAACACACATAAATAACAATATTGTCTTTGAATTGTATTATGATTAATAAAAGTAGTTTTTGCATAGTATAAATTTTGTAAGAACAATTTACGTTCAATCAAACAACATGCTTAAGTTATCATTTTCCATAAGCTCGTAAAATTGTGCAAATAGTAGAAGACATGATGGCCATTTGCTAACAAAACAATAGATTGGCAGATTAAGGTGAAAACTAATTCGATAATACGCTGTTTCAGAGGATCGAAATGATCGCCCTAAGAGGAACATTTTCAAGATGAAAACTAATCTCATCCTTAGCTCATACTAATCGCATAATCATGGATCTTTTCAATGAATTTGTTGAACACTGAGTTTTTTCTGTCTTATCCATAAACTTTATATTTGAATCATAAAGAGATAACACGCTTTTACAAATGTGATGAAAATTATACAGTTCCAATTGATTATCTATTCGAGATAACTATTGTTCCAATTATAAAAGGGAATTATATCTATGCATTGATAAAGACAATTTATATACTCAAAAATATTTACACCATTTATCAAAGTGAATGATATTTATTTTTTATTATGATTTAGTATTAATAAATATTATTGAAGACAACGCGTTCTGTTTATATATATTATTGTTATTTGAAAATATTTTTGCTTGATTTTATAAAATATATTAAAATCCTTTTTAAAGCTACAATGGGTAAACTAAAAGCTTTCTCCACAGAGAAAACTAAGAAATAAAAAGTAAATACATGAACAATTGACTTTTTCTGTTTTCTTTTTTGAAATATTATTTAAGTCAAGAATGAATTCATAATTATACTATTCATGTAACTGATCAAGTTGTCGTTTATTTATAGTTGACATTATACTTATTTTAGATTTTCTTTTGTATCCAAAAAATTATCGATATTATATTTTAATATTTATCAAAGAGATAATTTGATATGTCATTCAAGTGTATATATTTTATAGCATTTGAACAACCTTCACATGTCGTTTCAATTTCAAGTTGTGTAATTATGTTCTTGATTATTAATATTGAACAATATGTATATATTTCTATTAAAAATGAATACTAACCAATCACATGTGCTTATTCGACATGACAATCAAATCTTAACCTCTCATATTCACCTTTTTTTTATTGGTTATTTTAATTGTCCATCCGATACACGTTCAACTGTTGTCGTAAATCGTCGGTCGGTCAAATATCTCATTACATTCATGGCATTATATTATGACGAAATTCTTGCTGGAAATTGTTTTGGTCAAATAAATGTCGCACCACCTCCTCCGAAATTCAATCGTACTAATGAAATAGATAAAAAACAATTATTAAGTCTTTCAAATCAATTTGAATCTACTATTGAAGAATTATTTTATCTAGCTCGAAAATTTCTAAAAGGTATATTTAAAATAAATGAACATATATTTCAATATGCATACATGATTTGTTTTAGAAAATAAAGAGATTCAATTAAAATATAATGATAATATTCGTTTAATTACTTTGTCAAAACAAGCAAAATTTGGTAAATGGAATGCATCATATACACAAGATGTTGGATTTCTTGATGTTGTTGGTAATGATCGAAAGTAAAGCAAGTTTTTATTTATTTTTTTATATTATATTAAACTTTGTTTCTTTTGGTTTTTTATTACTATAGACAAGCATGGATTGCATTAGGAGATATGTCCAAAGAACACGCTATGGAAGAATATGTTAAATTATTATTAGATCGTTGTTCTATATTTCGAACTTATTTAGAAACACAACATGTGCACAATGAAGACAAAGATCAGTTAAGGTTAGAAGGAAATGTGTGTTTATGACATACGACTTCTTTTTTTCTCCTCTCGTTAAAAAAGAATTTTTACCTGAAAAAAAAATTTAATGAATATCAATAGATTATTCCAAAAAGATATGGTCATTGAAATAGGTTGAAATAAAGCGAGAGAAATCAATGTCACTACTAAAATCGGACCTGACTTATTGAACATTTTTAGCACTTAGTCGAACCATACTTGGATACTCTCAATGAAATTTTCTAATCATAATTGGATAGGCACCCCAAAGATACGAAATACTTTTTTTGTTGTATTCGATAACCAGCGCAGTCTACATATTTCTCAAACAACTAAAACTATTCGGATCCCAAACTTTCGAACTTGTTCAACAGAAAAATTTCAAACCTAGACTTTGATGGGTTCTAGTTAATACGGATTTTATTGTTCAGAAATTTTTTTCTAAGATATGTATATTTCTTCATGCAATCAGTCGTATGTTTGTTGCAAAGTATAGTGATGAGTCGTATGGCTATGGAGTACATACAACGTTATTTTTTAAATAGACTCATTAATAACCACAATTGATTTTATCTATTCATTCTGACAATGTAAAATTGACATATAATCAATTTCCGTTCAAGTGAACTTCTAACGAAAGATTGATTTGAATTAATAATAGAAAAGAACTTGTTTACATACTTATGCATTTTACTATGTTACCATCTCATTCATCTATACGGCTCATCCAAGTCAAATTCAAAGAAATAAACAAAATCTAAATTTTTACTTGTTAATATTATACATTCAACAAACTATAAATAAATTCTATACAATTTGTATGACGAGAAATTGTTTTAATGATATATATTTCTGGTATTTTGCTAGAAGTACGTAGAAAGATGCAAATTCTATGATTTGATTTGAGAACAATTCTTAAAGCTCTCACATATCTTGATGCGTCTTCATCATGTTTCTTAAAATTTTTTATCCTTTCCGTCTTTTTTAAAACTCTCATAGCCAATAATAATTATCCTATTCTAGCTTCTTTTTTTATGCGCTTCCTCTCCTATGTTTTTTTTGCTCATCTTCATTACAATGAATTTTATTCAAGAACAGTTTCACTTTATCTCTTTTCCTTTTTTTTATTTTTTCCATGTTCTTTTTTTTATCTGACGGTTGATGTTCTATTCTTGTCATAACCGGCCGCTTTTCTCGACTGTTTCTATTCTTTACCAATGAGCCTAAACGGAAGAAAAAAATGAAGAAAAAAGTACGGAATGCTAAAGCGAGGATCTCATATCGTATTTGCCTTTAGGTTTGATCTAGTGAAAGAGACAAGCGAGTGACGGAAAAAAATGAGGATTCGCTGAGCTTTTCTTCTCTCTCTTTTTCTCTCTCGTTTCCATCTTTTTTTCTTGTCTCTGCAGTATTAGTTGCTCGTGCAAACGGAGAAGGCAAGTTGAGTAATTTACTTTCCTATTCGTCAAAATTATGAGCTAAAAAAGTAGTTTATATTTTACGCTAGACGCATTGAGTTTTTTTTTCTTCTTTCCTTCTAATTAAACATTCTGAACAAACTAAAAATAATATGTTAAATCATACCGTTAACATTTTCTTTGATCCTATCTTGTCAAAAGATTCATGATTTTCTTTTATATAAAAATTTGTTTACGTTTAGAAATGACTATGAAACTTATCGTAGATTAGAACAAGAAGCTGAACGAGCAAGAAAATACGAACTAGAACAAGTATTACGTTTAGAAAAACAGAAGAAAAAACGAGAAGTTCTTCAAAGGTAATTTTCATATAAATTAATAATCGGTAATGTTTTTCTTTTACATCCAAAACTAACATAGAAAACAAATTCAAGAAGCACTTAATCAACAAACATATTCACAATTTAAAGCTTACGCTGAACAGCAATATCGAGATAACCGATCAGCAGTATGATGATATGAAATAAAATTATGTTTTTATAGTATTTTCTTTTAGCAAGAAGAATTAATTCGTCAATTACAAGAACAACATTTTCAAAAGTATATGCAACAAGTTTATCAACAACAACTACTTGATCAACAACTTCGAACAGTAAAAATTTATAATCGACATAACAAAAAAAAAAAAGATTAGATTTATTTATTTTTCTAGAAAGCCAATATGGAACAACAATCAGAGAATGTTATAACATCGTCAGTACCAACAGACATATTACTATCACCTTCAATACCAGCAAATCCTGTAGTCTCACCTAACAATATAGTAACAACATTGTCGCCTACGACTGAAATTCCACCATCAGTACCAACAAATGTAGATCATTCACCGATAACATTTAATCCCAACATGAATTTACAATCTATTTCTCAAATACCACCTCTTGGTCCTGCACCAACTCAACTTCCACCATTGGTTCATCCTCCACCTCAACCGGTAATAAATACTAATATAACAGCACAAGATATAAAATCAGAATCAGTCATTCCTATTCAAACACAATTTGAAACACTTAATCTTGATATACCATTGGAATCAATTCCTTCTGTTATTCCACAACCATCTTTTAACAGTGATTTAGCACAACAATCATTATCATCAGTAGAAATTAGTAATGAATTAAATAATTCACAAGAATTAATGAATGAACATGTGATTACATCATCATCAATTGATTCTAATGCGACAGTAAATTCAAATAATGAATCATCACTTGTTTCTGAACAAGATAAACCAGGTATGCACTTGAAAATGATAATTAAAAAAAATTTAATAGATTTATTTCATTGTAGAACTACCAAATATAGCACCAGCGAATATGTGGACACGTAAAGATATTAAAGAATTTAAAGATCAAATACGTAAAGAAAAAGATGCTGTTATTAAAATTGGTAGTGGTGAAACAGTTACGGTAGGTATTATTTTTCGTTTGTCTAGAAATATGTTAAATTTGATATATATGTCTAAAATTAGAACTAAGAGAAAAATAACATTCTTTGGGACAACATGTCATCATATTTTCCTTCTTTTCTTAATCTGACATATTATATTTCAAATAACTGAAAACCTCTTGTCATTTTTCATATATATCAAAAATATCAAAAGAAATTTTCTTTATAATTAATAAATTATCATTTAGGTCCGAGTTCCAACACACGAAGATGGTCAGTGTATATTTTGGGAATTCGCTACTGATTATTATGATCTTGGTTTTGGTGTTTATTTTGAATGGACTAAAGCAGAATCAAATACTGTTACAGTTCATGTAAGTGATTCAAGTGATGAAGAAGAAGAAAACGAAGATGGTAATTATCATATATATATATATAAAATTCAATGTAGAATATTTGGATTTTCTATTTTAGCCGAAAAGAAAGATATTGAAAAAGGTAGTGGTAGTACCAATAAACCACCCAAACCACGACAAAATGAAATCGTTCCAATCTATCGACGTGATTGTCATGAAGAAGTCTATGCTGGTAGTCATCCGTATCCTGGACATGGTGTTTATTTACTTAAATTTGACAATAGTTATTCATTATGGCGTTCAAAAACACTTTATTATCGTGTGTACTATTCAAAATAAACCGGCGAGAATATTTAAAAAGCAATAATAACAACATTTCTTTTTGCATTTTTTTTTCATTTTCATTTATTCTTATCTCGAATTATGATTTCTCTTTTTTTTCTTGTTATATTGCAAACAAATGAAAATTATCATTGTTGTTCTTCTTTGTGAATTTTATGTTTTATATATACATATATTCTTCTTTTTTCTTGCCGATATTTGCTTGTGAAAAGAAAAACTAAATGAAGAAAAACAAATGAGAATGAAAATTAATGAATGACTTTTCTTTTTATTGATTACTATTAGTTTTGTTTGAAAATTTTTCGAACGAACTTAAGAAATCAAGGAATACTTTCGTGTGTTTCAGGCAGAGAAGTTCGTTTCAATAAATTCTTGTTTTTTTGTAGATATGAATAAGTGTGAGCAAACAGGAGCTCAGGAACTTCTTTCAATGTTAAATGACGTTGAATTAATGTCAGTTAAAGATACTGTAACTAAATCCATGATATCAACATGTTCTGTAAGTATAAGAGAAGCATTGTTAATTTATTTTTTTTGAATAATTTTTTTTCATTAAATTTCAGCGTTCTGAAGCTATTGATGCTTGTTTGAAATGTTCACAATCAGCAATGCAATTATTAAGACGAAAAAAAATTCGAAGAGATATTCTTATGCAATATTTAGCTAGAAAATCCATACCAATTAGTCCAGGTGCTGATAAGGTAGGAATTCAATTATTGAATGAATAGACATAATTTAAAAAAGAAAACAATAAAATTCAAGTTTCTCTTACATTTTTTTTGGTAAAGCAGTACACAAGAAAACGAGAAAGACTCATCTTTAAAAAATTTGAAATATATAGTTGAGGAGGCGAATTCAAAGTTTAATTTACTATAGAATCTAGATCCAGAAGTTTAGTTCTTTTTGGGCTCAGGTCCACAAAAACATCACCTCGCAACTCCGTAGTCTCGAATGGTATAGTAACATTGTTATCAGCCATTATGACTGTATGGTTACGTTATTCGACACGTGTCTACAAGGTGCTGTATACAAACCGGAGTACCACCGGCCATAGAATAATTGTAGACAACGTATTAACAGCTATTTGTGTCTGATCACCTGTACAATAGTATGCTGAATACATGGTGACATACATCTGTTCCTGTGGTTAGCATGAGAAGCGCAAGAACTCTGCGTCAGATTGGCTTTCTGTCCAAAGCTACAGTTAGTCAAAGTTGAAGGGAAGATATCGAAATGCAACATATACCGCTAAGTAGGGATATTTTACTTCACGTTATCATATGGTTGTATGGATTATAGTACGCAAAGATTTACTTTTGCTCAATTGGATTCCATAGAGGTCTTTTCGATATTGATAAACTTTCTCAATGCTGTTCTATAAAGAGTTTTGATATAGCAAGAGTAATATTATCATTCTATGGAGTACAGTCATATCTTGATCCTCTTATTTGATGACTAGAAGCGACTGAAACTTAAACATTCGCTAAAGATATTCTTCCTGTTATTATTAGCATCATTTTCAATGCTTGTCGAAGATAAACAAGTTTCAAATATCCCTAAAATATAATATCTATGCTTTTTCTTTTAAATAAAGTTTCTCGTGTAATTAAACCAAGTTAGTAGAGCTCTTCACCATTATTATTAGATTAAGAAAAAAACAACCTTGTGTTTTTTGCTAACCAGAACTATCTGATACTACCTTGATTTAGTGGCAACCGAAAAATTCCTCGCAACGATCTAATCTAATAATAATCTTTTATTTATTTCTTCATTGATGAAGTGTCGTATTAAATGAAGTTGAAGATCAATGGCATCAAAGTGTAACAAAATCAGTTTATTTACGTTAAATCAGCCGTGAAAATTTACTTATACAACGATAAACAACATCATATCTTTCTCTTTACTCATGCGTCGCAGCTTAGGATTTTTCACGTGTGGGAAAGTATTTGACAAAGCTGAATCAAATCTAATGCTCGTTAATGAAGAGTAACGTTGATGGAATTATAAAAAAAAGTATTTGGATTAGGATTTGATAAATGGTTTTTACTGCTCAGAGACTACTTTTAATAATAACTCAAATGTGAATTTTGTTTTCACACCATCAACATCAATCATTAAGCAGAAAATGGATCCGATTCTTTGTCATGCAAAGGTTCATCACAATGTTAGTACTCGAGGTTAAAAATCAAACATTTGGTCGTTAAAAAGAAAGTATTTCTGATGAGTTACAATCAGAATTCTCTGTTCCTTTCGAATACAAACTCAGAAACTTAGTTCGAGAGTAGTGAAATCATTTTTGAAAAGTCGATAGGATTAGTGTAGATGGAATTTTAGATCCAAGATTTTTGGTGAACAGACTTGTTCATTTTGATCCGCTCGAAAGTATTTCAGACAGGCCAAAATCTAAAGATCGCAATCAGAATTTTGTGCATTTGTTGAATAAATTTTAAAAACCATTTCGACGACTTGATTTAACGGAAGTCCTACCTCTCTTAATTACAAAATACAAGATCATTCTCCCTATTCAACCCGTCTAGAACTGTTTTGTCGAGTTTTTCCTCAGTTTATCAATTGGAATTATTATTTTAAAATTCTTTTATTTGTCTATTTAAGGTAAAACTTATAAAACAGATAATTGATTTTTGGAATAAGGGTTCTCCGTCAACATCCAACAATGTTTCATCGTCAATAACATTACCAAGTATTAATCAATTATCAATTCAATTTACTGAATGGTTTTATACATCATGGAATAGTTTATCAACGTTTCAATCTGATCATTTTTTTCCCGATTGTCAATTAACTCTAATACATGAAAATAATCGTCGAGTTTTAGGTGCATATTATGTTTGTGATGTTCTTCGTTCATATGTTGCTAATAAAGAATTACGATTTTGTCCAAATATACAATCAAATAAAGTTGAAGAATCCAAACATGGTCTTGTTCTAATACAAATTCATGGCACAATTCATCAACATAATACATGTATTGGAATATTTGATCAATCATTTGGTTTAGTTCGTGATCCAAATCATAGTAATAATTATTTAATTAAATTTTGTTTTCTTAACATGCAAACACAACAACAACAACAACAAATTTTATCAGTCAATCAATCAATACCAACTTATCTTATTGATATTATGCAAAATTATGATCAAACAATCCAACAACAAATTGATTCAACTGATTATATTATTGAAGATCCAGATGATGATAATGATAATGATAATGATGAAAGTGATTAATAGTTGTTTTTTTTCTATTGTTCATTATGAACAGTTGTTTTTCTTGTTTATTATGTACATAATTAAACCTATAAATTACTAGATGAACATATTTAATGAAATGATTATTAGCGATATAAAATGGTCAAATCTAGTTAAAGGTTATAATGTATCTGGATATTAAGCAGTCTAGCTAGAAATGTGTGTTGCCAAAATTTAGGAATTTGCAGGGACCCGGGATATGAGAAAAAGAGTTACTGAAAGTAACAAAAAAAAATCTTGGTTGTGTACATCTGTAGTTCAGGCAATGTTGGATTTTTAATTAATTGTTCAAGCATCTCTGAAAGTTATGAGCGTTGATAGAAGCATCTTAATAATTGATGATGTTCGGGTTTCAGTATTTTTGAACATCCTCAACTTAGTTTTTTCATGATGCTTGTATTCCTTCACTTTTTAAATCATTTATTTTAATGTGTGTAAATCTACCGAGGTTGCAAACTCCTTTCTCTCGCTTCCATTCCATTTTAAAGTCATCATGGCTGAGTGCCTCCGATGTTCGACATCTATCTACAAGGTACTAATGGCTGTTTGTCTCGGGTACCTGTTCAATAACATGCTGACTACATTGTAAGATTAATGATAGTACATTTTCAATGAAAGCTACAGTCGTTTAGTACCGACTTGAGAGCATCAAACACCTTCAATTTCTACAGTTTTCAATTGGTTTCATCTATTTCAGTAATTGAAGATGATGCCCGTTCAGGTCGTCTTCCAACTGCTGCTAACAAAGAAACGATTGATACAGTCCGGACCATTATTCACAATGATCCTCATTCAATATACGAGCAGATAGAAGACATCGACCGTTTCAATAATTCATAACTATATGACGTTGAGCAAAGTTTGTGTGTGATAGATGCTTCATCAGCTCCCTGATGATCAAAACCAGTTGTGCATTTATTTTTGTTGTCAATCACTCAAGAGATTTGAGGAAGTCATTTCTGCCGTTTATTCGACATGATTAATGGTGATCAATCATGGCTCTAGCGTTATGACTTGATAACACAAGAGCAATCAATAGTTTAAGTATTAGAAACTGATCTGTGTCCAATCAAAAATTCATGGAAACAAAATGTACAGGCCAACGAATGGTGACTATTTTCTTCATAAAGTCTGATTTAATAGAGTCTATACCATCAGAATCTAATGAGAAAATCAATGGAAATTAGTATGTTAGAAACTATCTACCATAAGTCTTCACATCTGTATGAAAATGGAGACAAAAGATCAATCTTCGAGATCTCATTATTTCTGACGAATGTGACTTTGAATACAGACTGAATTATCAACGAGTTTTGTGCCGAAAATCATGTAGAATCATACTTAAATCCATCTTATTCTCCAGATCTAGGTTTGTGCGACTTCTTGTTTTCAAAACTAAAAAATAAACTACGTGGGATTCACTTCGATTATGATAAATAAAATGTTAAATGTATTAGAACAATCCATGGACAATCTCACAAAATATGATTTCAAAAACCGTTTCAGTATATTGTTTGTTTGTTTGCATGCACAAAAGCATCAATGTTAAGAAACAGTACTTTGAAGAAAATATACTTCAACCAGCCATTGCGATATTTGTCTATAAAGTTAGTAAAGAAAGCTCACACTAAAACAAAACATGTCGCAGTAAGAATATGTCTGATCTGTCTACTAACTATTCATTCGCAGTTTTATCTTGCGCTTACAGTTACATATAATCAACTTAATTGACCAAACTGACCTTGTATATTTTTCTATATCTTCTTTTCTAGATTTTTTTTTTGATTAGTTATTGACTGAGAAAAGACTCCATTGAAACGATCAGCTTGAGACGCTTAAATCTCAAGATCAGACCGTTTGAGCTTTAAAAATAGGTATCACTTATTAATATTAAACTGAAAATTGTAATAATTCGCTTCTACAAAAAAAAGACAAATATGCTAAAGAGTAGGTTCAAACCACTTTTTTCAAAATGTGTCTTAACGAGCATCTCGTGTCGAACTTACAATGCTTGCAACACATTTTATTTTAGAATGCTTTTCCAGTTCACCATGTATATTACTCTAATTCATATATTCAAGGACGGTTTTTTAGGTAAATATGACAGTCGCACTTTTCCTTTTGATGATGCATCTGGCAGCTGTCATGTCAACAAGTCAATGAATGTTATCGAAGAGTTATAACAACTCTGCATGAAACTCAACAATCATGACTAAGTATTTCATAGAATAAAAATAGACATCGTCATTTTTTTCTTATATCATTAAAATAAAATTATTACGTTGATATTGAAAATAGTCACATCATTATATTGATATTTAATTTTTGATTCAATAAGTCTTTGGATAATACAGAAGAATAATGCATTATATTCCGTTTTATATACAGAGTGTAAAATAAGCTGTGATTCTTTCATGGAATATTATTTTCTCATATGTTTCTGTATTTACTAAGACTGATACTCATAATACACACATGATAAAGATTTTTGTGTTATCTTTGATATCACCATGGATGAGAAAACTTGTAATCATTTAATTATTCACTCACTACAGAGTAATATTTGCTTTTTTATCCGTAATTATTTCATTTTGTAATTTGTCTACGTCATTGTGAATGGAAAGAAATTCTATGATCTCTATATCTCTGGTGATAGTCAGAATATACGAAGGAATTACATGATAAAGACATTGACGATGCAGAAATAGTTAATGCAAAATTTGCTGATACTTGGTCAATTGAGAATGTATCAGGTGCAATTTAAGAAAAACTGAAACATGAACAATTTGATATTATTTATTTAAAATAAATTCGATTTGTAAATGTCCTTTCGATTAGTACCTTGTATATCACATTACTAATAAAACACAAAAAAGATTTTTTCATAATTCTGATATCTCTTCTGTATCTGTAACAATAATAAGCAAATAGCTTAAGTTTTAGCATAGAATTTGATCTAGATATCTAATGTATATACTATAAATATTAGCCTTGGGCAATACAAAAACATGTGACAAAAAACAATATTATAGGAGAGGAGTCACAGTTTATTTTACAACTTTTAATTAAGATATGTTTTCATTATCTTTATAAAAAATCAAACATTGTTTTCTTTTTCGATAGTCTGAAAAGATTAGTAATATTACTTCAAAGAAACTATGTCATAACATTCTGTATTATTATTATCATCTGTTTATCTTTCGTACATTGTATCTAAAAAAAAATAGCATACATTCGTCAACATTTTTCAAGGATATACACAATGGATAATAGTTAGAAACTTGACAGCTACATATGATATTAATAATAGCGTAGTTTTCAAGAAATCATTTTCAGTTTAGCATAAGTTTAATAAATTGGTCTCACATTCATTTTTTTTTTCTATTGCAATAACATCAGACGAACAGGATTAAATCATCTTAAAAGCATAGATATCGTTCTTAATATGTATACATCAGAAAGATGATGATAGATGTTTCTAAGAATTGCTCATATAGTAATCATATATATCACCATTTATTTTATAATTCGCACCATGTGTGTCTTCAATATTATCAATCAATATTATGCTGATTCACCAAATATGAAGTTTTTTTTTTTGTATTATTCAGATGTTTAGCATTTATCTTGATCAAATATGAGTACAAATAACATTTGTTTTTCATTTGATCAATCAATTATATGTTAAAAATAAAATAGATATATTCGATTTTGATCAAGAAAACAACATAATATACATGAGTTGAAGTAGTACAACACTTTAAAATCAATATAATTATCCGATGAACAACATAATTTAGTTTATCTTGTCTATTTGCAAACATCATTATTTCTTAATTCAAATCGTCTCTTCTCATTAATACCGACAACAACAATTACTAGCGAGCTCGACAACAATAATATGTGTTATTCAACTTATTTAATCACCGAAAAAAAGAAAAACAAAACTTATTTTCATAATACTACTACTACTACTACTACTACGATTTAACATGTTACTCTATTTCGGAATACATGTGTAACCGAGTTGGTTTAAATTTGATAGAAATTGACGATCCTATATTTTCTATGAAAATGTGTTACCGTCTTGTGTGCTTAATTAATCTACGGCCGAATACACATATCTATTCTTCCTGCCAAGGGAAATAAATACAATAAGAGAAAAGAAAGCGAAGAGGGATTGTATCGGACGAGTTTTTTTCTATTTGTATATATATCGGAGAGAAAGAGAGAATACTCTATCTTTGATAGCTAAAGTAATTCTAACAATCTTCAGTTGTTTGTTACGAATAGTCGACAGCAAAACAAAGCAAGAAAACTAAAGCATAGATAAATATATATATATAAAGAAAACTAACTACTATACAGAAATTTGTCGTTGTTTTGGTTTTTGTGCACATTTATTTTATAATAAAGTACAATATATTCAAGCAAGTATTATATTGTAGCATTATTCAAATAATTATAATATAATTCATTTAGTATGGATTTTAGACGTACAATTATCATTCTTATGGCTTTAGCTGCCTTGATAAATATAATTGGTGTCATTCACTGTCATATTGATTATCCTAATACTTCAACATTGCCTATATATCGCACGAGCTATACCATTATATGTCCTATATGCAAGTTAAATAGAATATCGTTTGAATAGACTATGTTCTTTTCTTTGTGTTTAAATATAGTATTAAGTTTGACTGTTTTTCTTCTGGTCGAACAGTTGATGATTACAGATGGAACAGTTGCACCGCTCAATCGTCTTCGAACTATTTATGCTTTTGTTGCTGCTATTGCTCTTTTTATTTTTGGTATCGGAGCAGCAATTGTAGCTAGCAGTTGGTATAATTCTGCTGCACAAGATGCTTATCATCATAGTAAGATTTATTTTAATATGATATGAAACTAACAAAAGAAACGATTGTTCTATTAGGTGCAGTTATTGCTTCTGTGGTTGCTTTTGTTGGTATGACAGTTTATTTTGCAGAAGCTTTGGCTCGTAACCGCAAGAGTCGTATCATCTAAATCATGTACATTTAATGAAATAATAAGAAAAACAGAAACAATAAAGACTAATTATTTGTCGTAAATATATATATATATATACATATATCTCCTCAACTATTATCATATCTAGTAACAATTGTTCTGAATATTTTCTTGATCGTACTATATTTTATTTTGCATATCAAGGCGTTTATTCATATGCATAACGAATTGTTCTTTTGTTTGAAAAAAAAGAAATTTATTGAATTTTGATTTAAATTTTATGAAATTTGGTTGCTGATATAACATTGAAAAAATGGACAACTAATAATAAATGGTCGAAAATATTTTACAACGACTCAACTTTCCATGATTGAAATTTATTTAAAGATGAGAAATCATAGAGAAAAAAAATTGCTGTTATTTTTGTAATAAATACACATATGAAAACTTCGAATCAACTGTTATAGACATTAGTTAACAAAATACATGTTTTCATAAAGAATTATTCTATCTATGATTAATTCCATTTATGACCTGCGTAGGATATACAAATCCAAATGGGTTTAGTTTTTGAACTTTGATAAATTTTCTTTGTTTGTTTATAATGGGATTTTGTTGATTTTTCGAACATACATCAATCAATTGACTACATTGATGTTAATGATGTGTTAATGATGCCTTGCTCGTGATTCTATCAGATAATAACCCGTGTGCATCGCAAAAGAGAATTCTATTTTTGGCAGAGATCAATACAAATAAAAATCATTATTCAAACTTGATTACAAGTTTTAAGACAACATAGATTTTATTTTAATCAAAATGCAATCTTCGCTTCATAATCTCATCGTGTTGAATTTAATTATGAATACATCAAAAATTCAAATAATGATAAAATCGAAATCTTTAGAGGATATTTTTATTTTATTATGGCATAAGATTTAGTTCTAAAAATAGTATAAAAACTGACTCATACTTACAGATATATATATATATATGTATATATATATATGTGTGGGAGTATCCCATCAGCTAGGATTTCTCAACTATTTTTTCTTCTATAGCCTCATTGATATATCAGAAAAGTCTAATTTTTGTACTAGTTATAGTATAACCATAATGCTCATCATTTTTTAAATTCAAGCACTGCTTCTTGTAAATAACTGATGCAAAAATCAGACTATTCTGATATACGGTTGAAGTTCTAAGAGGAAAAAAGTTGTTAGTGCAATTCTTGCGGGATTAAAATGTGAAGCACAATATAGCTATTACTGACAATTACAAGAAAATTGTTTTATTCAATCTATTTTGAGACACATTTCTTTACTGTCGTTTTAATTAATCCTCTAGAAATGTAATACGGAAGTAGTTCACATATTATTACAAGACATTACTTATAGGCAGTCTATAATTGCATATCAACAATATCTGTCACTGTCGGTGGGAGGGTTCAAATTTTTACACCTATACTTCAACACTTCTTTTAGATAGTGTTTTACAAAATCACCACGAAATCTGAGCTGATTGAGAGCAACCTTCATTTATGTAATTCAAAACAAGTATTAATATTTTACCATATCTTACATCATCCTTAGAAAGTCAAGATTAATTATGAATCATATCCGCTTCCATCATTCTCTTCAACAGGATGTTTCAGAACATGTAATTTTATCAAAGACTGATGTGCATTAAAAAAAAATAAGGAAAGAGCCTCTTAATTAAGTAAATCGAAAATATGAATATTTTCAACAAAGATCGAGAAACATAAAATTATTTATCAAAAGAGTATGTCACTGATATTTTATATGCGTTATGTTGGTTTTTTTTCTTTTCAAATATAGATTTATACAAGAAGATAATAAAAAAAAACAAAGTTTCCTAAAAAAAAAACAACAAAAAACTGAACACAAATATAAAGTGGTTTTTCTTTTCTATATACAATCTGCCATCACCAGGAGCAAAATAAAGAAAAAACGTCGCATAATTAGTTTAATAAACATTCTTATTTTATCGACGGAATGCACGATCAAACATTTGACTAGACTAACCATAATATCGTGCTTAAACTCGACTAAAAAATCACTGTTGTCAATATGATGAACATATTTTTTTTTGTCTCATTTATACTAGATAACCTTCACTAGTCAATAATGATTTCGATGATATTAATAAAAGTTCGGATTGTATACGATCTAAACTATCTAATAGACGAATTTGTTCATCATGTGTAACATTATTACCAATAAAAATCTTTAAATCTGATGAATTAAAATGACATATTTGTGAAAGATTTGTATAACCAGCATTAATAAATATACATATTAAACGATCAAGTTGAAGATTATGAAGCCAATCAATAATTGATGTTACTTGAGTAATATTGGGTTGATCTGGATGATTGACAAAGATGAATCTTTAATATAAAAATTATCGGATTAAATTTTTCTTAAATATAAAACATTTTTTTCTATGAAATATAAGATCATTATGACCATTGGAATTGTCTCATGTGTTTCTTTTAACTGTGTAATATTATGCATTCATTATTAGTGTTCCAGGTCAAATAAATACAGTCGTTAATGACCATTAGGTAGGCGCAGTATTACTACGACCGTACTTCTCTGCGTTACAAACGATCAAATACTCGACTTTCAGATCATTATCAACTGTGCACTATACGATAAAATATGATATCTTAATATCCCACCTACGAAACGTCAATTTACGACCACACACTGTATGAAACGACAGTATACAATACTGTTGTAGACCACCCGAGTGGCTGTTATTATCGTTGTGAGAGTGTCATTGCTATATAAGTATCAAATAGTTATTCTTAGAAAAATATTCTCGTTTGAATAATTCAATAGTTTCATAAATAGACTGATTTTTAGAGCCGTAATTTGAACTCCATATTTAATAGATTTATGCTGTGATAAATGTAAATGTTTTATGAAATCATCTATCAGAAATATTTCTCCCGCTGACAATAATTATTATATGAATGAAAGTTGATTTTAATTAGAGTAGCGAATGATCGTAAAAAAGTAATTCGACAAAATGTAAATTCATTTTTGTCAGCTTCTTAAAGGAACTGGCAGAAAATTGAAAACACTAATCGACTTTTTAGAGAGGCAAAAATTAAGTATAGACAAGGCAAATTGACAATTTATGCAGCAATAATCTTTTGTACTGCACACATTATATTACCGGTTTGGTGTAGTACAATCTAGCAAGAGTGAGAAAGTATATAGGGTAGAAATCCTCACTTTCTAAGACTTGGACAGATATCTTATCAACACCGTCTTCACAGTGTGCACCAAGGCGAACATTTGGCTAAAAATAAAAATCCCGTTTTTTCAAGGTTTAAATATAAAGTTGCTTGAAAATTAATCTGAAAATCCTGAAGGCAAGTAGAAAAATTGATATCTGACGAAACTAAACTGTTGGGCAGAAAATCAAGTACATTTTCTGAACCTCCAAACTGAGGTCTATATAACGGTAAAAAATAATTTTTACTTTGTATGTTTCATTTCTACGAAAAAAATACAATATGTTTTTCAGCAATGGCGTTCATTTGACTACTCCTGAAACATAGGCAACTCACCTATATCCAACCTTCAGACCTCTCCAGAATGTCTTTCTATCTACTATCTCTAATCCTTGCTGTATAGTAGATTTACAAAGAACCCAGGTTTTTCAATTTTCCTTGCTTTGAAAACACGTTTAATCGAGAAAAAATTCTATATTCAAAATCAACGCATTAAATTGCATAGAATGATTTATAACAAAAAAAAAACTTTGACAAAAAAATTTTCTGCGTCATAGTCAATCATTTCTGAGCAGAGAAATCCGTTTCGGAGCAAGAAACTCAATGTCCGCTTGCCATTCGAAAAATGCACACTATACCCTGCGTGTCATAGACTTTGTTGATATACAATCAAAGACTATATTTGAATAATGTTTCATTATAGTACATGAACTGTTTTCTTATTGTATTTCTGAAAGACTAAGTAAAAGGAGAGTAAAGAAATCTGCCCAAAACAATATCTCTGTGGTTAGCAAGAGAAACTACATAGTAATTGACATTTTTATCCTACAGAAATAGTATTAACTGATTTTTTTTGCATAGAATTCAAGACGAAACTGTTCTATATAAAGTACTTTAAGAATCAAGAGTTTCAGACCAATTATTCGACATTGACCGACCTTATTTTGCAAGTCCGTTTTCCATAGAAATCCAGAAAACTGACACGGTGTATCTTATCGAAACAATTACTGGTAACCAATGACTTACACCAAACTAATCATAAGTATACTATTTTATAGAAAAATATTTGCTCTTTTATTCGCTGTATTTGAGATAATTCCCGTTTGTGCTTTAGATAAATCTTTGGCGTGCCAAACCTCATCCAAACTCAATTTACAGATGTCGAAAAAGCAGTTTCAGAATTCTTAAATCAGACATCTTACGAAAATTTTGGAAGTCATAATTCTAGCTCAATGTTTTCAAATTTCTGCAGATTCTTTAATAAGCTGAAGAAAAATGAACGAAGGTTTTTTCAAATTACTTTTCGATCTTTCATTAAATAAATAAAAGATTAAAGTCTATAATCAACAGTCTCCTTACCTCTGTTTGGCTAGTGGAAAAAGTTGATTTGGTAATTGAATATATTGTGTTAACTGTTGTACAATATCACTAAACTTTGGTCGTTCTAAATATTGTTCATTCCAACATGCAAGCATTAATTTATAAAGTACATCAGGACAATTCTAAAAACAATAACATTTTCATGAAAAAAAATTTTTTTTAATGACGGACCATAGGTGGCGGAAGACGAAAAGAACTTTTAATTGCTTTAATCACATCTTGATTTGACCAATTCCAATATGGTCTTTCACCAAATGAAATAACTTCCCAACATAATACACCAAAACTCCATACATCAGATGCTGATGTAAATTTTCGATAATCAATTGCTTCAATAGCTGTCCAACGTATGGGAATTTTTCCACCTTTTGTTGTATAACTATCGTCT